ACCAAGACAACCATCCCCGCCAACAACACAGATCTCCACACCACAACCACCACCGAACAAAAAACCCCAACCCGCCACCATTACAGCCCATTTTTAATCCCAAAATCCACCGATGAGCCAAACACCCACACACCCACCCCAACAGATCGGAGCAGTAGCCCATCAAGTCGCAGCAGCGTCACATCCCATCAATTCGCAGTAGCGTCGACGCCGGCAGCAGCATCAACGCTGCTGCAGTTGCTGTGAATCACAGCAGCGTTCGAACGCTGCTCACATCAGCGTCTGTGTGCAGTGTGTACGCTGCTGTGTGCAGCGTTCGACGCTGTTGTGATTCACAGGTTCGAACGCTGCTTGCAGCAGCGTCGACTCTGCTGACTCGCTCACACAGCAATGTCGACGCTCCGATAGAGTAGGAGGGAGGAGGAGAAGGTAGGGAGAAGGGGAGGAGGCGGCGGCGGTGAGAGTGAGAGTGAGATAGAGAGACGATTGGGGGTTGTGTGGGAATGAATTGAGAAATTAGGTTTTAAAAGATTAATTATTCAATTAAAATGATAAATTTTTTTTTTTTGAAAAGATAAGAAAAAAAAATTTGAAAACCTGATTTTTTTAAAAGGTTAAACTTAATACCTGGTTTTTGGTAATTTTTCCAAAATTCAAGCCCGAAGCATTAACCAGGCCCATAAAACCTCGGCCCACTTGGGCCCGGCCTGTTTTCATAGCACCAAAAATCCAGCCATTTTCTCCTAGGGCTTCTCTGTGCTGAAAATTGATCATTTTGATTTACATTTTCCAGGTTTCGCTTCCCGTCGCCGGCCACTGATGGAAAAGGTGAGTACTCATCTGTGTTACTTCAAATTTAATTTAGCTCATTATGATATGCATATATAAATACCCAATTACTAAGCCTATATTACTTTTTAGATTTTTTTTTGAATTACAAGTAGAAGAACCAAAGGAAAAGCTGCCAATTGATTTTTTTAGTTAGGTTAACTGTCTTCATTTTGCTTTTGAATGCATTTGTTCTTGAAATAAGCGAGATAAATGCTAGATTGGATTCTTTACTCCTTTTGGTTAGTGAATTATACAATTTAGGCAAGTTTCTTTTTAATAGTTTGTCTTTGTTATAATGAGCTGAAGAAAAATAAAATTTGCAGATTGAATCATTGATGTAGTTAGTGTATTAGACAATTTCAGAAATTTTTGTTACTACATATGTGCTGGGATCTGAAAATTTGTAGTGAAAAATGACTGATGATGGAGTAGATAAAGAAATGCCCTTCGACAAAATTTCAATTCCGAAAACCCTTTTTGAATCTTCCGTAAGAAAAGCCCTTCAACGAATTTTCAATTCCGAAAACTTTTGAATGTTTAGTACGGATGAACATTCTTGAAAAGTTTTGTGAGGCGTACACTACCATTAAGGTCTGTTTGGTAGGACTTTTAAAAAGCCAAAATGTGCATTTGAGACTAAGAAAATACTTTTGAGCATGTTTAAATAATTTTCTGGAAGTGTTTTGTTTAGTTAGAAGGGTGTTTAAAAGAAGTTGACATAAGTTAGCTTGCTAAGGAAGCTCTTTAACAAAAAGCAAAAGCTAAAACTCTACCAAACTAAATGCCTTAAAGCTTATGCCTTTAGTTCCATTTGTGAAAGTCTTATGCCTCAATTTGATGAGGTTTAGGTGTTTGCTCGTTTGTCTTGGCTTTTCTGAATAGTTTATTAGTTTCCTCGACCTTTTATGCTATTTTATGTAACCTATAACGTTTTGTGGTTTTTTTCCCTTCACATGAAAGGGAAATGGAAGGAGAAGGCAACCTGGTGACTAGAGGGTGATGAGAGAGAATGATAAACATTTTATAGTGACGGCTCTCTTAAATATCCTAAGACCTGCTAGTATCATCGGTAGATTATAATTTTGTTATGTGGTTACTAATTTGAGAACTTTTAAATTGCTATTTTTTTCATAAATTTTATATTTGATTTTAAGTTAAACTTTTAGAGCCTGTTTGAGCTCCATTTTATTCTAAGAACTCATTTTGGAATAGTATATTGATGAAAAATGTGTAGTTAAGAATTAACGAAAATTCTTGAATTTGCTAGTAATTTTATTTTATTGAAGAATGTGTGATTGAAAAGAAGAGAGAGAAAACATATTTTGAAAATAATGGGGATCACACAAGGGCTTAGTTTGTTCATTTGGTCGTTATGCATTTTCAAGATGGTTCACATTTTACTCTGAGATTATTTTTGTATTTTTTTTATTCTTTTGAGTTATTCTGTTAGTTTGTCTTGAGGCCTACACGTCGCCTCCCCTCAAAGAGGTAAGTCGCTTTGCTACACAACCACAATTTAGCCTTTTTAAATACTGAAAGTGACACTGCATTCTTTCGTTGTTGATTAAGAGTTTACTTACCTTACGCTGATATTTGACACTTAAAACAGCATTCATTTTAACATCGAATGTGACAATTTATAATTATTCTTTTTGGTTAGATGGCAGATGTAGATAAGGAAATTGATGTGGAGGCAAACTATCAATCAGAAGCAAGCACCGGCGAGAAACGCAAAAGAGACGGGAAGTTAAGATCTAAAGTTTGGGAACATTTCACAAAGCTCATAAAGGAGGACGGAACATGTGATAGATGTCAATGCAATCACTGCCAGAAGCTCTTTACTTGTTCAAGCAGAAGCGGGACGACCCATTTACTCCGTCATATAAGTGATGGGATTTGTCCTATTTTTAAGCAAGAGAAGAAGAACAAGTCACCAGCGCTGTTAAATCATACGAGAACAAACGGGTTTTCTGTCCCGTGGAAATATAATCTAGGGCCGACCCAACAACCCGCTGATGTTGAAGTTGAACTACTTCCGGAGGGGTTAACTATTATTGAACATCAGGCAGTTAAAGAAAAACCAGACGACAATGGAGTTCAAAAACAGACACCTTCAAGTGAAAAACTTCCTCAGCAATCTGCAGTAAAATCTCATCCTAAAGTCGAGCCATTGATGAATGAGGTAAGGGCTTGTCTAGCGAAACTTGCTGAGTTTACAAACATAAAGATTCCAATGGGATCCCTTACAGCGGCTCCTGTTTGTGCTACGGAATACTCAATAGCTACTGCTCTCAAGTGTTTGAATGAAATGGTGGATATCCCACAGTCGAGCGATATGTACTTGGATGCTTTTGAGATTTTGCAGGATGAATGTGAAAGAGAATGTTTTATTTGTTTGCCCCCTGAACCGCGCAGGAGATGGATGCAAAGGATGTTGCACCGGCGTCATCCTCTGAGTTACAGTTATAGTATTTAGCGGTGTTCTTGGTGGTTGGTTGTAGCACTTTTCAATGATGGCTGGTGTATTATTATAAAGATCTTGAAGGCTCTGCTGAGGAGTACGTTTGGCTTTGGCAGATGTAGTGTATGAAGTGTAGAAGTAGGTTACTGTAATGGAAGGAAAAAAGAAGTGTAGAAGTAGGTTACTGTAATGGAAGGAAAAAAGAAGTGTAGAAGTAGGTTCAAAACTTCGACTGATTAAGGCCCTGTTTTGTTTAGCTAAAAATTACGTTTTTTTTTTTGTAGATTTTGACAGAAGTTGATTAAATGTGGGGTTGAAAAGTTGATCAAAGTTGTGGGTCTTATGAAATGTGTGGTTAAAATTGAGGAAAAATAAGTTAGGAAAAATGGGACCAAATTGGGAGTAAAGGTCTTCTGGTCATCTTAGCTGCTTAAGATGAATAGTAATTTTTTGAAGAATGTGTGGTTAAAAAAGAATGAAATTTTTTGGATTTATGTGTAATATTATTTTATTGTAAAATGTGTGATTGGTAAGAAAATAAAGAAAAATGAAATATAATTTAATAGAGAATAATGAGAGCCAAGCGCAGCTAAATATTTACTTGATGGTGTGGGATAGTTATCGCAATAGTAAAGGTCAGAAGTAATTTTATTTAAAAAAAAAATGAAAAATCAAAGCTTCACACTTCACTATTAAAAATTCATTTTCTTCGGTTAGAAATGAAAAATTAAAATAAAAAATCTCAAAAATGTTGTAGGGTCGAATAAATACTTTCCCTAACGGCAACCGAAACTGACATTAATTCGGGTTGGACCCAACCCGAATGTACAACCCGACGAAGAAGGAAGATATTTATGCTATTTTTCATAACTCCAGGGGCATTTTGGAACTTCCAAGTCTATATATATAATATCCAGAACCCTAAACCCTTTACGTCGGCTTACTCTGACTCTATCGTTGGGGTTTATCGAAAACTTAAGAATGGCAACTCGGTATCTGACTCGGTCTATACTCACCACCACCAGGCAAACCCTAACTGCCACCATTTCCCGCTCCTACTCTGCTGTCTCATCTGCTGCACCACCACAATCCTCCTTTGTCCGTCGCCTCCGGCCCCTCCTTGTTGCGGCGTCCACTTCCCATTTCCATCGCCTGGCCCCTGCGTTCTCGACCAGGGGATTCGCGACCCGTCCTACATCGTCTTCACTTAATGATCCGAATCCGAACTGGTCGAACCGACCCCCGAAGGAGACGATTCTGCTCGATGGGTGTGACTTTGAGCATTGGCTCGTCGTCGTGGAAAAGCCCGAGGGTGAACCAACCCGAGATGAAATCATTGACAGCTACATCAAAACCCTAGCCAAAGTCGTTGGAAGGTTTGATGATTGGCTTTGTGCTTACATTTTTATGTTTGTAGTTTTATTATTTTGTGCAAAACGGATTTGAAGGTGTACCGTTTGATCAGAAAATAACTTTCCCATCATACTAAAGTTTGATTGTTGTTGAAAATGTTTTACTGTTCATAGGAAATTTAAAATTGTGGAATGATAAAGATTTCGTATTTATGTTATGGAGTTAAATTTATTTGGAATTAATAAAAGCTAAGGATTCAATTTTGAACTATTTGATTTAGGATTTTGTGATTAAAGGTATTTTGCATTTATTTTAAAGATGAAAAAATCTGGGTTGACAAGTGACCAAGATTGCCAGTTTTTTGGTTTGTTTTGCTGCTTTACTGTCGATGGAGAATTCGATAAAGTAACGAGACATGTTTCTTGTCAAATGTTTGAATATGGTTCACGGGATGGCTTTTTTATCCTTATTCATTTAGTAAGTTATTATTCGGAGTCACCAATAGAGTGCGTCTTATCTGCTGATGTAAATTTTGTTGAGACACACTTTGATTTAATTTTTTTCCTCTTTACATGATTATGTTTTCCTAAAGTTTGTACATTTGCATTATGTGGAAGCATGTATATATCTCTGTTGGCAGTGCACCAATTCTTACCATTTTTGGTATGTTAAATTAACTTTTGAACTTTTTCTATGAGGAAGAAGCAAGAATGAAAATTTATTCAGTCTCTACACGGCATTACTTTGCATTTGGAGCACTTGTGGGAGAGGAATTGTCTTACAGCAAGGAACTCAAAATAGTTGTTTGTTCTAACAATGATATTGATGAAGATTTCTTTCAGAATTAAGATGCCCTGAAACTTAGATCATATTTGAAGCATATATGATTGATTTTTCTTATGCTTGTCCTAATGAATAATTGTTTCTTTTAAAAGAACATGACTTCAAACTGCAAACAAGGCTCAAAATGTGCCTCTTGGAGATGTTTTCAGTATAGTTTCTTTTGTTATTTTCTCCGTTGAAAATGTTTCAGAAAAATATTTGGGCTTCTGCTTCTATGATTAGGTAATTGTTGATTTCTTCCCCAACAAAGAACTCGAAGATATAAAATAGATGTTTGCTAAGATAGACAGTGACAATGATTGTATTATTTCAACTGGAGAGCTGAAGGTTGGATTAGAAAATTTCAATTCACAATTAGCAAAGTCTGAAGTACAAATGCTTATTGAAGTTGTGAGTCTACAGCTTGCCTCGCACTATTAAAACATATGAACACTTGTTTTGATTTACAATAAATATTTTTTTTTCATTTTTTGGTTAATCGACAATAGAGTATTCCAATGATGTGAGCTTGAGGGTTCACATATGAATGCAATATGAAAGAACCAGTTATGATGAATTTGTTGCTACAATGAAAATGGTGGAGGAAGGCTTCTCGGCATTACTCAAGAGGGAGATTCAATAGTCTAAGCATAAATTTCATGAAAAAATGGTTCCATTAACTTGTGTGAGTAAATATATACTCATTTATCAGTATAAAGTCTCGGCATTCCTTATATTCTATGGGGTTCCATCGATTGGTGGCTTACAATGATCATGGACGAGACAAGTACATCAGATTAGCTTCTTCAAATTGTTTAGTTAGTAAAAATAGTCTTGTATGCAATGAATATGCCACGCACGATCCTATCCTCTCATTATTTTTTGGGTAATTCTGAATTTTAGATAAGCCAATAGATGAAATAGTGCTATTTCATGCATTGAATGTTTAAAATAAAGTCACCAAAGAAAAAAAGAGGTATAAATCTATTTTGCTGGCACGCTAATATTACCTTAAAAATGACAAAACCCATGCATAGCATGGGCAAATGACTAGTAGTATATATAAGCCTCTATTTGACACCCATTTTTTAGAAAAATAAATTCTGGAATAGTGATTAATGGAAGAATGTGTGGTTGAAAAGTAATGAAAATTTTTGGGTTTATGTGTAGTATTATTTTATTGATAAAATGTGTAGTTGAAACGAGAAAAGAGAAAAAAATGAGAATGAGAAGAAAATGAGTGTCAAACGGGGGCTAAGATTTTGAAACTATAACTTACACATGTTAACAATGTTGTAATCTGTAAATTAGCCATGTCAAGGAGTCGAGATGAGCCGAAAAAAAAAAGAGTCAGACCATTTTTTTTTGGGCCCAAACCGAGCCGAGCAAAGCCCAGCCAAAAAATGAGGCTCTGCCCGAGCCGACTCGAGTTTTTTTTTTTTATTGAAGGCTAACTGCAAAGGCAACTCTTTTTAAAAAAAATTAATTTTTTTTTTTATAAATGGGCAGACTCGCCCGTGGGCCGGCTCGGGCTCGAGCCGTCGTCCCAAAATGGAATTGACATTCTAAAATGGAGATGAAAATCGAATGAAATCTCAAATCTTCATTTTAGACGGGTCACAATTGAGTTACATTTTGTTGCCATCAACTATTATGTTCATGTAACATGATTGATAGTATATTTCTACAATTTTATCATAATGTATGTGAAAAGTAAACACTAATAATTTATGTAACGCCCCAATTTTCAATAAATACAAGGCGCTACTTAAGTCGACTAAGGATTCAATTTTGAACTATTTGATTTAGGATTTTGTGATTAAAGGTATTTTGCATTTATTTTAAAGATGAAAAAATCTGGGCTGACAAGTGACCAAGATTGCCAGTTTTTTGGTTTGTTTTTCTGCTTTACTGTTGATGGAGAATTCGATAAAGCAACTAGACATGTTTCTTGTCAAATGTTTGAATATGGTTCACAGGATGGCTTTTTGATCCTTAATTCATTTAGTAGGTTATTATTCGGAGTCACCAATAGAGCGTGTCTTATCTGCTGGTGTAAATTTTGTTGATACACACTTTGATTTAATTTTTCCCCCTTTACATGTGTGTGTTTTCCTGAAGTTTGTACCTTTGCATTATGTGGAAGCATGTATATATCTCTGTTAGCAGTGCAACAGTTCTTACCATTTTTGGTATGTTCAATTAACTTTTGAACTTTTTTATAGTGAGGAAGAAGCAAGAATGAAAATTTATTCAGTCTCTACACGGCATTACTTTGCATTTGGAGCACTTGTGGGAGAGGAATTGTCTTACAAGTTGAAAGGTAATAGTTCTTTTCCTGTAGGTTCGATAGGAGTGTCTGAGATTTGTTTTGATTATTAACAACTCATGTTGCAGAATTGCCCGGAGTTAGATGGGTGCTTCCTGATTCCTATTTGGATGTCAAGAACAAGGATTATGGAGGTATGAACCTCCATGCTGTGTTCCCTTGTGTTTGGTCCTTCGTTTTTTTTCTTCTTTGTAGTGCTCGTGAAAAAAATTGATGCTTTATCAATCACATCACATGTAGGATGCTATTATTACTTCTAGTTTGTACTGGAAATTTCCTTTATATCTAACATATCTTAAAACCGCCCATTTTTTCGAAGACTTCAGTCTCCAACCGGTTCATTCATTTGTTTTTGGTTATGTTCTGTAATACTTAAAAAGATATGTATACGATTTTGATTGGCGGGATTTATTACTTTCTACATGCTGTGCCTGCGAACTGGTGGACTTTTGGGTTCATGTTTGTTGCATTTTATATTGTAAACGGGTAATGGGTGTTACTGTTACTGAATCATAGGATCGTGTTCATGCTGGAGTTCTATAAACTCTTGGCAAATGGTTGCTAGACTAGTCTAGTATTTATTGGTTTATTGGTCAATTGTATGGTCTTTAAGTAGGTGTAGTGATGGACCGAACAGATTGCCTAAAAGAATTTCATATAACCGATCAGTGTTTCGGGAATCATACTTTGTAATCTTTGGATTCAATTGAATGACTTGAAGGTGGGTGTTAATTGATGCAAAATGTTATTGACCAGTGCTTGCCTCCAGATAGATAGGTAAACCAGCTTTTTTTGGGGTTCTGTATTTTGTCAGTAGAGAAGTATTGCAAACCATGGTATTTTACATGTAGTTCTTATTTCTGTTCTCTCTCTCAAGGCCCCTTCATCGTGGACCTTTGATCGGTTGATCTGTGAGTGGGAAACTTTCTGTAGTTGAATTTGGGTCTTTGTGCTTTGTGTTATGTTCTACAAATCTTTTTTGCCTGTGTGCAATTCTGCACCTGCAGATATCTTCCGACTAACATATTTGGTGATCTTTGTATGTGCATCTTCATATGTACATTGCAGGGGAACCATTTATAAATGGACAGGCTGTGCCATATGACCCTAAATACCATGAGGAGTGGGTGAGAAACAATGCTCGGGCAAATGAGAGAAATAGGCGCAATGACAGGCCTCGTAACTTTGATAGATCCAGAAATTTTGAGAGAAGAAGAGATATGCAGATGTCTAATCAGAACTCTGGAGCCAATATGGGTGGTCCAGCTGGTCACATGGGAAGCCCACCAAACATGGGTGCGTCACCTAATATGGGAGGAATGCAGCAGCAGCCCAGCAACCCGGGAGGAATGCAGCAGCAGCCGCAGCCCAACATGGGAGGACCACCAAATTACATGGGAGGTGCACCGCCTAATATGGGAGGAACGCAGCAGCAGCCCAGCAACCCGGGAGGAATGCAGCAGCAGCCCAACATGGGAGGACCACCAAATTACATGGGAGGTGCACCACCTAATATGAGGGTCATGCAGCAGCAGCCCAACAACCCAGGAGGAATGCAGCAGCAGCCCAACATGGGAGGACCACCAAATTACATGGGAGGTGTGCCACCTAATATGGGAGGAATGCAGCAACAGCAGCCCAACATGGGAGGACCACCAAATTACATGGGACGTGCGCCATCTAATATGGGAGGAATGCAGCAGCAGCCCAACATGGGAGGATCACCAAATTACATGGGAGGTGCTCCAAATAATATGGGTTACCCCCCAAATAATGCAGGAGGAATGCCCAACAACACAACAAATTACCAGTACCAGTCCAGGAATGGACCCAACACTGAAGGAATGCCTCATCAGTCAGGTCCAGGGCAAAATCCAGGCGGCTATGGTCCAAACACAGGGTTGGTTCCTGGACAAAATCAGAGTAGCTATAGTCCAAATATGGGATCCAGTCCAGGACAAAACCAGAACTACGCTCAAAATTTTGGTGGCGGGAACCCTTACCAAAACCAGAATATACCTGGAAGAGACGTGCCCCCACGTCCAAATGATCAGTAGACATGTAGATATCATGGATGAGTTCATAAACTGATATGGACTATGTTATAGATCGAAGTCCCTATGGTAATCTCATTGATGCTAATTTTGGTTGACATTGTTGCTTTTAATTTCTTTGAATGTGAAAATGGCAGCTCATGTTTCTAAAATCTTTTAATATTTTCGACTTCCACATTAGGTATTATGTCTGTTTATTGCATGAATTTGGTGTATCATCGCAGGATTTTGGATGATGTTAACTTTTAAGATTTTTTCCATCTTCAAGTTCTCGTTCATGGTTTGTTGACAACTGAAAAACAGAGCGGATTTCACTAATGTAATGGATGAAGTTGAATATTTTCTCTAGGAATATAATAACAAATTTTTATCCAAGTTTTATCTGTTAAAAGGGTGTGTATCAAAATATAAGCCGCCTCCTGTTTGATGGCCTTGAACAAATAAGCTAGTTCAAGAAACTGAGAACATATTCAAAAATTTAGTATCAGTAGTAATTTTACAAGCAAAAATTCAACTACTCGAACCAATGATCTCACTGTGTGAGTGACAGAATTCCTGGGCACATGAGATTGGACAAGTGATTCATGTTCCTTTTAAGGCACAATGTAGTATGTGTCAAATTAATCTAATGTTCCATTTTCAGCTGCATTAGCTCTTCATTTTGACGTACTCTCATTGAACTCGAGCCTGGAAGACTAAGTGTCCAAAGCTTCTTGAGTTGCATATTCTGCTCTTCTATTCTTAGCAAAACGAATCTGATCTGCGAGTGAAATTTCCTTCTGCAATTGTTCTTTTTTCACGATAGCTACATCAAATTTCTCCCAAGGTCGATTCTGTTGACTGCTTACTTGACTAACTGCGGATTTCTTTCTGTGAATCTGTTTACAGCCAAAAGAATAAGAAACAATGACATTAGAGATTGGGCTACCAAAACAAAATACAGAGGATAGAAAATGGTCTACAGTGGTGAGATGAGAACTTAGGCAATTTCATACTGAAGAATTCCTATGACACTAACTACAAAGCCTTCTTAATTATATGTCCAGAAGAAAACAAAATCACATCTATAAACAAACTGTTAAAAAACATCAGTGTTTTCTACTGTCTCCCTAATGAGTTAAGCATTACTAAATGCTCACATTCAAACAAGAAATCAGCTTATCATTATATACAAACATTACTGTTCCCATTGTTTTAAATGTCATCTGAACTCTACATTATGAACTTACTAAAGGTATCTTGTTTAGCCATTTTGCCTTCTTGTCCCCACACAACCAAAATAATATTTGAATCCATACAAAAATGAAACAAGAACATTAATAACGATATAGATATGATATAGATAATTCGCTTCAATAGTGTCACAGTTGCACATTAAACTTTCATTGGGTTTTACCTTGATTAGTCTCTCCCTCAGTTTTAGCTCATGAGAAACAGCCAGCTGTTCTTTTTCTTCCTTCGATTTTTTGTTTCTCTTCTTATTCAGTTCTGCTCTATGTTTTGCATTCTCTTCTCGCTCTTTTTTCTTCAGTGTAAGCTTTGCCGTCTTTTCTGCTTTTGCTTGTGATGCCCTCTCCGCTCGAATGCGTGCCATTTCTTTTGCCTTCGCTTTTTCTGCAGCCTGCTGAAGCTGTTCAAGGGCAATCTCTTTTTTAATCTTGTCATAGCTATCCCAATCTAGTTCTTGTTGTTCAATCCCACCAATCTTAGCAGCGTTTGCAATACTTTCAGCCCATGCTTGCAACAATTTTTCCCTCGACCTTTTCCATTGTAACCGTTTCCCCCATAGCTTTCTGAGTGATGAGCGTATTCTTGCTTTGGTTCGATTGCTGCAAAAAGACTCCTAGTTTTAATGCTACCATTAAGCTTAATAGTTGATTTTAATGGTTAATGTCGGCTCTGTTGGGTGAGCCACTAAATCATTTCAATAGTTTTATGCCTTCTCACATCAAAGAAAAGACCTTTGGTTTCGGAATCAGCTCCATGAAGGTTTGTCATGATCATGGGGAATTAACTAAATGCTAGAATATAAACCATTCAGGTAAAGATGTATTTATGTAAAATACTTTGATTATCTTTTTTGAAAAAAAAAAAAAAAAGATACACCCAGGTATTACATGTTTCTTGGAATATAAATTCTGCAAGACCCATAATATATGCATATAAAAGAATTATGCCTATGAACAATGATGTGACGGTGCCCATGAGGTGCAAGCGATTAAAGCCTCTCTTCCATCATGATCAATCTTCCCACTATTATTGATCTTTTAATTAAGAATTTCAAGAAAATAGTACAGACAAAACCCCCTAAGCATGCAGTATTGACATACTTTGCAGTTCAGTCGCAACTGCATGGGTTTCTAGGGATGCCATACTCATTTATCACCACAATGAAACAATTGTAGAAACCTCTTCACAACCATATTTCAATTTGGCATGAAATTATGCCCCTGTTTGGTGCCTGTTATTTTAAAAAAAGAGTTTTGAATAGTATTTTTAGGAGAATGTGTGGTTAAAAAGTAGGAAAAAGTTTTGAGTTTCCATGCAAAATATTTTATTGTGTGAATGTATGGTTGAGAATGATCATGTAGCAAAAAGAGTTTTAAAACAATCGGCACCAAACATGGGCTATACACAGTGGCAGAATTTAGTATTTCTCAATTTTTGGTAAACTGAAGTTGCTTAAAAGTCTCTAAACATATACAGTAGCTAAGAGCTTTTGTCCTACATACAGACCTTATCCAGGACACATATTCGCCCTTAAATGATTACCAAACCCTTTATCTGCTTCAGACTTCATGGAAACAGAATATCATGTTGAATCAAAAGGAGAACACTACTATTATTGTGAGAGGTTGATGCCATTCACGATCAACAGTGGAATAGTGGAAACAAAGAATACCTGAGAGTACGTGGACATTCAGACATCTTCTTCCTAACCTGTAGAAATTAGAAGGCGACAAGAAGAAAACAACGGTAAGAGCAATTTAATCATGTAACTAAGTTTAGCATCAAAAAAGAAAGTGGCTTCTTTTAAATTTTCTAATATGTCCGTAAGAATGACGAAAAAAGGTAATGTAACAAATCCAACAAATTATTCTCCTTGACAGAGAATAATTTTCCACGGCAACAGAGAAAGAATTCCGAGTTCTAATCCATGATGTAAAAATATATTATATATGTATTCAAATTGTCTGATTCTTACATGACTTCACCTTGGGATCTTTCAAGGCTTCTTTTGTTCTCTGTTTGATTCTCTCACGAGTCTCTGCATATGTAGAAACAGTGCATTTAGACAAAAGTAAGATTCCTATTATAAGAGAAGACTGCAGAAAAAGCCACCTTCACTGTGTTTCCTTCCTTTGTTCCATGGCACTTTTCCTTTGTTTGCTAGACCGATCTTCCTTCTTCTCTGGATTTCCTTATCATTCTCGTAGTCAGAAATTTCTACTGAATTCCAATTATTTTCTACTTGAATCTCTTCACTTAAAACTTGCTCCATGGGCAAATCAGACATGACTTGCACTTTGCAAGATTCCTCTACTTCAGGTGTCTCCCCCTGGTATGTACCTGTATACATTGATTCGCAGGAGTATGGTCCCTTCGAGGACCTAACACGGCCAAGGCCAACGGATGGAGATACACTCATCACGAGAGATGCACCTAAGATTTTATATGTTGTGCTTCGTTTGATACGTGCACATTCAATTACATGATGAGAATGAGTTCGACGCATGGAATTGATAGGAAGTTGAGAAGCTGAAAGTTTCCTGGAAAGAAAGCCATTGTGCACCATCATTATAATTGTCAAAAAAACCCATTCATGCACTGTGTACTTCCTTATCTATTATAGTTATAAATTTAAATCATTTCTTACCAAATAAAAAAAAACTGAAACTGCAATAAACCTTTTTTTTTTTTTTTTTGATAACCGTGGATGTCCGGGCCAGCTTACGCGCACCTCGACTAATTCCACGGGGCCTGAAGTTTACGGCCAGGTACTCACCTCCCTGAGGGGACTCGAACTGGTGACAATTGGGGAGCAAACCCAAGGCCTGACCAATTGAGCAACCCCTCAGTGTTAAAACTGCAATAAACGTAATATTTGACATGTCCTAAAATATTCTACATCCCTTTCTGAGCATAAAATTCACAGCAGGGGAAAAAATTTAAGGAGCAGAAAATATTTCATACTTGTATAAAACTGCAAACAATCATCAATGCCAGTGAAAATTCGCATTTCATGAAAGCTCAAGTATCATACAAATATACAATTGGACATTAGAATTCAAATTTTAGATTTTATACTACAAATTCCACCCTCAATTCCCAGATCCCCAAGGCGGAGCTCATAAATAACATTTTCATCAACATATTAATCACATATTACCACAAATCACAGATTTTAATCAGTTCGAATCATTAATTTCAAAAAAATAAACAACGAGCGTACTGACAATAGAGAGAGAGAGAGCTCACAGGGAAGAGGAAAGCATTGCAGATTATACCCGTCGAGCGGGCATTGAAGATTAAATTACTGCAAAAATCGAAGATTTCGTTACTTCCTTCGAACAATTGGATATGCACCGCAGGCTGCCTACCAGGTATTTGATTGGCCTCGTGGCTCTAGATTTTCATTTTCATTTATTTATTTTTTTATAATAAATTTATTTTTTAAAAATAGTTTTCGTCGAGTTGAGGTTAAAATGGTAAATTTCGATATGTAATTATTTACCGATATATTTATAATTTCCCTTGCAGTGATACTCGCAGGATTTCTAGAGTTTTCGCTTCCAATGGATACGATCAAGAAGCGAAAGATTGACGATAACGGCGTCATAATTGTCGACACAGATGCCTTCATCCCTTACAAACTCACTCTAGAACATGCCGGCAAAATTATCGAGCCCTTTTCTCATGAACAGTTGTTGGAAATTGTTCAAAACGCCGTTATCCGTCACCCAGATGTGCTTGACGCCGTTAGGTCCATAGCTGACCGGGATGTGACCCAGCGGAAGCTATTCATCCGTGGACTCGGATGGGAGACAACCACAGATGAACTTCGTGCTCTGTTCTCGGGCTATGGTGAGTTAGATGAGGCGGTGGTTATTCTCGACAGGGCTACGGGTAAGTCAAAGGGTTATGGGTTTATTACTTTTAAGCATGTTGATGGTGCTATGTTGGCTTTGAAGGAGCCGAGTAAAAAAATTGATGGTAGGATGACGGTTACCCAGCTCGCAGCGGCTGGTATGTCTGGGGGAAGTGGGCCTGGGGTGGGTAATGTTGGGGGAGGAAATAATCAAGTGGATGTGTCGGCGAGGAAGATTTATGTGGCGAATGTGCATCATGATATGCCTGCTGAGAGGCTGTTGCGGCACTTTTCCATGTATGGGGAGATAGAGGAGGGGCCTTTGGGGTTTGATAAGGCAACGGGGAAGTCCAAGGGGTTTGCTCTGTTTGTTTATAAGACAGCCGAAGCTGCGAGGGCTTCACTTGTGGATCCTATGAAAAATATTGACGGGCATCAGCTAAATTGTAAGCTGGCGATTGATGGGAAAAGAGGGAAGCCTCCCATGATGGGGGCTGCCGGACCTGTTGGAGTTCAGCAGGTGGGTAATGCAGATGGGACTGGGGGGACAATCTCGGGTGGACAGTATGGTGGAATTGGTGGGCAGTATACTGGATTTTCGAGGCCTTTGGGTGTTGGTGGTGGTGTAGGTGGTCAGGCGATCCCAGCAGTTGGAAGCCAGGCTGCAGGGTTGAATTTGGGGCTTGGTGGTGGGTTTGGATCCGCAGTTGGTGGGCCTTATGCCGGTGGGACCAATTCTGTTGGGCCTGGTGCAACTGGGTATAATGGACTGGGCATTTCTGGTGGTGGGTTAGGTGGTGCTGGTGATGGATATGGTGGGGTAAGAGCTGGATTGGGGGGTTCTGGTGGTGGATCGGGTGGACTTGGAGGTGGACTGGGTAGTGGACCAGGTGGAGTAGGAGGTGGATTGGGTGGTGCAGGTCTTGGGTCATCATTGTATGGTTTACCACTAAGCTCAGCTGGAACAGGTTCAGGAGATTATTCACGGAGTGCACAATACAGCTTGTCATCTGGTGGGTATCAAAGCCAGCATAATCAGCCTGCAGGAACATCACCAGCACCTAGGGTTCCGCCTGGGGGAATGTATCAAGGGATGCACCCTTACTACTAAGGTAGCTTCAATACCTCTATTATACTTACGTTCATATTATTGCTGTGGTAGGTTATCCTCCTTGCTTGATTAACTTAGGTAGTGTTTGATGCACCAAATTTGCCAAGGAAAATGGAAATGAAATTCCACCTTCCACACAAGGTGGTGTTTGATGTACAAAATTTGGCCACCCAAATGTTTTCTTCCACACCACCTCACATGCCCCTGGTTTTCGGTGGGAAAACTGAATTCTAGGTTTTTTTTGGGCAATGGAAACAAATTTCATAACCAATTGTAAAAAAAAAAAATTTCATTTAATGGACAATTTTCATGTAAAACAAAGTCAAACGAACACTAAACTTTGATTAAAAAAATGATTTTTTAGGAAATAATTTTTTTTTTTTACTTTTT